GCTTTATCCACCACCCATTGCTGTTGATGTTTTAAGTAAAGTTATACCTTCACTGACATCATTTATTACTCTCTGCAGGGAGGTCACGGACCAAAATTTTCCTTGGTCCTCCCTTATATCACTAAGGGACTTATTGTTTACCATCATAAGCAATAAAGAACTTTTGGGTTATTTTATTATCTTTGACAGCTCTTCTTCCTTGTCTCTCATTTTTGTACTTTGAACTTTCCAAAAAGCACAGAAGTCCAAGATGACTCATCTTTAGGGACAATTCTAGCTATTTCCATTATGCTTCCTTCTTGAAGACCATTGAGAACTACAAGATGTACTACATTTATTTTCATTGTTCCATATTAGGATGTCCTGCAACTATATCTTGAATATATGTATTTTTATGAACTGCCAAACTCCTGAGCACCTTTTTCCTAGACTTCTTCCATAGGATTTTGCAAACAGATCTTTGTATTTCTCGTAGTTGCTTTTTTTCTGTTCTTCCTCTTTTCCATTGTAAAAATCTTGAAAAACTTGTAGAGAAAATTCTTGTATTAACCTTCACCTTTTGTATCAAAACCTGACATCATCCTAGACTAAAATTACCCTGGGTACTCTCTATTCAATTTATTTTTCCCAACAAATATATTTGGTTAACTATTATCTCCTCAAGGCAAATTATTCTGTCAGTTGTTTACAAAAATGTTCTTTCCATCTTATCCTTCTTGGTTTGGTGGTCTTAATTGTGGGTCAACATAACAGCACTCTGGCACTTTTCTCCTTTTATTATCATAAAGATACTTTTAACAGATTATCTCCCTCTATATTCTAGACTTCAATACAAAGATAAATATTCACAGAGAAACATATCTTCCCTCCCCTTTTTTTTCAGGAGCCACCTCTGCTTTTTTTCTGTATTAATTCATTAACAAATGAGATATCCCACCATGTAAACACTTACACTGCCTAAATTGCAACTTTGTATAGAACCTTGCACATTCTTCCATTTAGTTTCCATACAGCCTGCACTAGTATAGATCTCTTAAATGTTAAGCAGATATATTCACTACCCTGTTTTCCATATTGCTTCAGTCCTTTTTATAAAAACCCTACATCCATGGTTAGTATGCCTCTGGTCACCTTTCCACTGATAACACTTACATTCTTTTGTCATCAGTCCCCATTAATTCTAGTTTAAAGCCTTCCTTCCCAAGTTGGTAAGCCTAAACTAAAAGAAGTTCTTATTCTTATTTTTCCTTATGAGACAGAGCTCATCTCTGCTCAGCAGTGCTTTCTTTTCTGTTCTGGAAGAGCTGTGAAAGCTCAGCCATTCAAATTGGCAACAGCAGGATCAGGTCAATTAAAATTAATGAAAAGTTCTTCTCATTTCTCTTTGAACAGCAATTCTCTCTGCACAGTGAGACACCTACCAACTGTAAAGGTGACCAAGTATTTGGAGTAAGGACACAAAAATGAAAAACCATGGTAGATCACAGAATCCATGATCAAGTAAGAAAATATGCATCATGATTTTCAAGGGTTTCACAATTCCAGATATATGTAGGAATCCATAAGCATCTCTTGGAAAACAAATAGAACTGCTCTGGCAGTGTCAGAGTGACATAGGAAAAGAATTAATAGGTTCATAATAAGTGACTATGGGGTTTGCAGTTTTTCAGATTCTCCTTTTCAGACTAAACCAGTTATAAACTCTAGCCAAATTAACCCTCTGCTGGAAGCATTGTTAATCTTCATGATATCTGGAGCCTGAAATTAAGATTTCCTATATCAGCACCTTTTTGTATCAGTGTGAATACAGTGATACAGAGAGACTTGCTAAAGCAAATGGACTGTTACAGAGGAAGAGATAACTGCAGCATACAGTCATTCCATTTCAAGACCAGTATCACAATGGACTCTCTCATTAAGCCTTTAAAGGGCAAAAATCCCCGAGACAAAAATCCCATCTATTTTCCTCCCACCATGCCAAGTCAGTCTTACCACAGAGAGGATCTTCACGAGATTTAGGACCACAATACTTGTCTTCATCAAAGCCTTTACTTCCCTCAGCTCCGTTTTAGTGATATATATACACTGTAATTCAGGAAGTGCCCTCCTCATAAAAGATTTCCTGTATATGCAAATACATAGGATCACAACTACTTGTGTATATCCTTAGCAAACAGTTCTTGTAACTTGCTGAGAAACAGTGACTTTCCTTCTATCTAGCCCCGCTATTTTATTTCAGTATTTCCTCCCAGTCCTGGTCTCTGTCTTTCTGCCTGCCTTTTTGCTTTCCCACTGTCACTATAGAAGTTCAATAAAATTCCTTTTCTCTGATCTAGCCTCAAGGACAAGAACATCACTGGCATCTTGGCTATGGCAATTACTTTTGTGTAGTACTTGACTTACATATTCCGTTATTTTTCCTGAGTGGCAACTTCTTTATTCTAACTTACAAGGAAACTAAATTCCAGCTATAATTGCAAGAACTGACCAGTGAAGTTACTTTTTTCCATTGATATAAAAGGGATCAAAGCCCTCTTTAAAATACTCTTTAATGGCCATAAAAATCTTTGTAGCATTTAAAAAAAAATATTTTTATGTGAAACCAGTACTTTCCACTTACTAATAGTGTTCTATTATTTGGATTTTTGAAAATTTTGTTCTATTCTTATTGGAATTTCTATCGTTTACAACTGGAAAGTATCACTCATTTGTTGCTTAGTTTCATATGCTTAAGGTACTTTTATCTTGTGTGGTACAGCACCTCACACAGCGGACCTTATCCATGATCAAAGCCTTTCATACCTGACCAATACAAAATTAGTAAATATGAATATTAAATAATGTCAACAATACTTTTGTTACCTAGGTCTGTATACCATAAAACCCCCCAAAAGTTGTGCTGAAATTCTCTATCAAAGTACATTAAACCGGTAAAGGAGAAATATCTGGAGGCTAACAGAAACCTCCAAAGAATCTCACAAATATGGATAGCTATGAGGATTCTCCAAGGGAGAATTAATGAAAAAGACCTTCTAAATAGCAAACAAACTCTACCCTAACATCAAGAAAAGTTCTAAGGGAGCAGGAGGTGCTTTACATTTGCCCTATGCACCCCTGCAAGCAGGATACAAGGGGAATGTGGTATAACCTCTAAGTACTCTCAGGGCATCAAGTCTTGCTTTGAGCCCACTTTGCTTGTGCTACCAGCATGCCAAGCAGTATCTGGATGAATAAATCTACCTTTCTACAGCGAGCTATATAGGCACAAGCCCCTTCAAAAACCTAGCTATGATAGCTTAGGCAGTGCCACATCAGTTGTGCTCAGAGTCTGAGGTGTACTAGCTCAAACAATGCAGCATACACATGCTATGCGTAACCACCTACACACAACATCCAGAATAGTGCAAAAGTAGAGCAAATTCATCATGATCCACACTCAGACATGTGTGATGTCAGGAACAAAACCTCATCTTTCCTTGCACATCTGAATTCCTTTGATAAAATGACCACTGGCAAACAGATACTGTCTCAATACAGACAACAGTTATACCGACAGCATCAGTTGGTTTGTACATTCATGTCTCAGCTTTATAAAACCTTCTACAAGAAAGTTTTCTAGAGGAATAATTTCATTTTCTGTAGTCTGATTTCAGATCTAGCTCTTACCACTTAAGACCAATAAAATCTGCCTGAAATACATTATGACCTATTACTTATGATCTACCTATGCTCTCGTGATGCCATGACAGTCATAAAATGAAGTCATTTATTATTATCTCTCTACTTACTAATTCTTAACAGGAAGATAGGAGAAATACATGGCTGGGAGAAATACGTAGCTAATCTTCCTTCTACTTTTTCTTCTGGTTTTTATTTCGTTTCTCAGAATCAGTACCTGCTCAGGTACCTGCTTTCCTGTGCGTACCTATAAATATCCAAAGGAAAGAGTTCACTGGAAAGGCATGTTGCAATACATGTTTTGTTTACTGACAGCATAAAATGCTAGGCTACATTATATAAGCCTCAGAAGAGGTACAAAAGGCTTCTTTCAAAATATTCTGTCAATATACTTCAATTCACAACTCAAATTACTAGTTAACAGTTTTTGTCTTTGTCTCTCAATTTGCTGTTGCCAAATGGGCAAAGTCCTACTCCTCTCTCCCCTCCACAAGTTCCAGTGCTTATCAGTGGCTTTCACAAGCTAATTCTATTCAATTATGCTGAAAAAAAAAAAATTCTATTACTTCTCTGCCTATTTAGGCCAACTGAAGGATTTTACATGCTCTAAAGCGAAGAACAAAGCCAAGGAAAATGGAAGGGAGATTAGGACTTCCCAGTAACAGAGACAACCAGCTGTTGGATCAGTTCAGCTGAAACTGATTCTGTGCTCCTAAACAGGAGGCCTCTAAACAAGTGTCTCCTCCTCCCAAAGAACCACGCTTTACTAGGATGTGAAAGGGGGACAATTCAGAAAGAGTTCAGACACTTTTTGACACAATATATTTGGTAAGTTTGTGGTCAGGGAACAAGGAGCACGCAATGACATCAACTCAAGTCCTGTTAGAAAGTACAGCACTGAAAATATTACATAATTATATTATTGTTAAACCTTACTGCTTAACTTTACACATGATATTGAGCTCCCCCTGTTTCTAACAGGCCGTGTAATGAAGCGATGACTAAAATGGGCCAGAGAGTTTAGTAGTTTAAATTTTTATGAACACACGAGATTCTTCCATGAAAATGTTCACATTATTTTAATTAAATATTCTTTTAAAAGTGGTATCTCTTGTCACATATTGCTAGATCCTACTGGAAGCACTACCACTCAATTAAGCTTTGAAGTAATTAATGAAAAGAACGAGTACATACAGAAATACTGAATACAACATTTTTGAGAACACGCAGCACTGGTTCAGCTTTCAAAAAAATTTTGACCAGTGGTCAGGCTGACAAATTATTTAAATTGCACAATATTAAAATATTCTTAGATATCAGCTTCACAGATTATTATTTTTTTCTTCTTTATCTTCATGATCATCGCTTTGCTTTTGTTGGTTACTGTTATCTTCAACAAGACTTTCAAGATGTGACAAATAGTGTAAAGCCCTAGATTAGGAAAAATGAAGACTTTAACAACAGTGTATCTATTGCTATTTACATTTAACACAAAGTGATGTTGGTTTCTTACAAACAGCTTATTGGTTTGAATGGTATTATATACAATTTACATCTCTATGTCCAACTGTCCCACTTATTCTGTTTTAGAGATTATAAAATACAGTAAGGCTTTTTTAAAAAAATAAAACACTTTTTGGAACTGAAATTTTAAATACATCTTCTCAAATATAGGTGCTCACACAAACACACAGTTTCTATTAAATTATTATGGAATGGGTATTTAACATAGGATGTTAAACACTGTAAAACATTATGTCATAAAATAGCATATCAACACTGAAAGTTACTGTATTTTTAAAATTCAAGTCTTTTAATTTTACATGACAGTATAAAAATTATCCTGCAACACTGAGTTTTGTTGAAACAAGTCTTCTACATAAAAGCCTGTTTTCCATTCTGCCTTTTCTCAAACTCATTATTTCTTTAGTCACTTAGAACTGTTCAGTAGGATTCTGCTGATTTCATTAATGAAATATGCTTTTTAGCAATTATTTTCTCCACTGTAGTTAAGAAAATATTTTGTCCAATATTACAAACTTCTCCGAGTCTGATTATTTTAAAGCCCGTCCATGTGTAGCAATAATTAATCTATTGCTATAGATGAAATACAAATGTTTATTTACAAAGTACATCTCTGCAACCATTCACTAGATATTTCTCTGCTCCATGAACTGCCATGTTTTTAATTATTCACTATTGGCTTATTCTTAACAAAGTTTTCAGATCACACGACAACTCTATCCAATAATTTATCATTCTTTTTCTGCATTTTCTGAAAACAGTGAAAAGTCAGAAAATTAACGGTCACTTACTTCCGAATAGAATTAGTAAGAGGGATTATCTTAGTGTCACGCAGTTTTAATTCAGCTTCTGCTTTTTCAGAAAGCTTTAAAAAAAAAAAATTGTTAACTGAGGGAAGGAAAAGTAACTCAATATGACAGAAAACATGGAATTTTTATAGCACATTGCATTGGAAAGTATTGCCAACAACTTTATAGCATCATAAAGCAATTCAGGTTGGGAGGGACCTCAGGAGGTGGGCTCCTGCTGAAAAGAGGCAGCTATGAGGTTACGGCAAGCTGCTCAGGGCTTTATCCAGTCAAATCTTGAAAACCTCCAAGGACCGAGACCACACAACCCCTCTTGAACAACTTTTTCCAGTGCTTGGCTGTCTTCAGGGTTAAAAAGTTTCAAAAGTTTCTCCCAGTGTCCAGTGTGAGCCTCCTGTTTCAATTTCTGCCTGTTTCTCATCCTTCCATCATGCACCACTAAGACAACTCTGGCTCCATCTTCTTGATACCCTCCTCATAGGTGCAGGAAGACTTCTATTAGGTCCATCAAAACTTCTTCTTCTCCAGCATGAACAAGCCCAGTTCTCCCAGCTCCTCCCTGCCCCCCCCAAAAAAATGCTGTAGCCCCCAACCACCTAGGTGCCCCTCCACCAGCTTATTGATGTTGCTCCTGATGTGAAGGGCCTAAACTTGGATGCAATATTATAGATGTTGTCTAATAAGTGCCAGGGGATACAGAGGGACACTCAATTCTCTTGATCCATTGACTGTGCTCCTGTCCATATAGCCCAGGCCCTGCTGTTCCTCCTTTGCTGCCAGGGCACACAGATGGCTCATGTTCAGCTTGTACCTACCAAGACTTGTCGGGCATTTTCAACAGAGCAGCTCCCTAGCCAGGCAGTCCCCTGCCTGTATTGCTGCCAGGGTTTCTTCCTTCCCAGGTGCAAAGAATTGCATTTGCCCCTGTTTAATTTCATGAGGTTCCTGTCAGCCCATTCCCCCAGCCCACCCGATCCAGATGTACACGGAGCATTTCATTCACTACTAAGTATAGGACATAGGGCTTAAGAACTGTATGCAAGCAGCATTATGAAAGGTAAAATGAAATAATAAAGTCTATGAAATAATTTTGAAACAAAGTGCCACAAAATACCAACTTGCTGATGCCAAAGGAGGCAAGGATAGAGCATTTGAGAGTATCTGGCTTTTTAAAAATTTGGTACATGCCCCTGAAAGCATAGAATTAACAGGGATATTATTGGAAGACAACTTTTTCCAGAAGACAGCTATTGCTAAAGCAGCGGAGGAGAGCCCAACCGGCTCTCTTCGGGCAGGATTGCCTGAAATGCCGCCATCTCCTGGCTTACAAGCACAAGCAGTGCCCCTGCCAGCAGCAGAGACTGCAGGCTAAAGCAGCACACGGCCCCCAGTTTGCAACAGCAGCAACAAAACACAGGGAATTTGGGGCACAGCGCTCTGGATGCAAACTGGATTGAATCTGCTGGCAGTGCTCTAAGATGGCTGGAAACCAAGTCTATCAAAGGAATAACAATTTTTCTCACAAATGCACAGAGCACATTGATTTTGGCAAGATACAACCTAAGGAAACTGACTACTCACCTTTTCAAACTCTTCCTTTTGCTCAGCAGTTTCATTCTGGCTTAAACTTCCCTGAATTGCATGAAGTTTAAACAACATTAGCTTCAAAGCTTCAAGGGGCCTGTGATGATCACCTCCAGAAAAAGCACTTTCCTAAACCAAAACCCCAAGAATTTGTTGATTTTGCAGTGTACTGCAGTGCACATAAACCAAAACAAAATAAAAGAAACAACTTTTGAAGTTTCCCTGAAACAATTTAAAGGCTAATTTCTCGGTGTGTTTCCCTCTACCTATTCGTTAAAGGTCTATTTATAAATTGTACATGTATGATGCTACACTGGTTCATCTTTATGCCACTGTCTGGTCAGCGAAGTCACTGTAAATACATACATTGTTAGGAGGATGTGAAGCAACACAGAAAGGCCTCAGCCCTGGCTTCTGTAAAATAATTCAAGAATATTAAGACTGTCAGTCCTTGTAATGCTATGACAGCAGTGCTGGCACGTTTCAACATTTCATAACTGACAGAGCAAGTAAGCTTCCTTAATGATAAACATAGATTTATTCATATAATTAGCATCTACATATCTGCTCATTCTATAATCAAAAAAACAAATTAACTCCAGGGGACAAAAATTTGTGGATAATCTAGAAATACTTATGTCTAGAAATGTCTGATGATCTAGCAGAACCAAGAGAACAGGAAGCATGAAGGATGAAATACAGCGAAGCACTATTCAGAGAGAATAATTTGAATTACTCATGCACATCGTAAGGTTCTATGTCAATTAACTCCTAAGGGAAACAGAAGTATGTCCCACAGTGGAAAAAACCTTAAAGGGTAATGCTCTGTTTACTACAAGATGGGAAAACAGAAGCTTAGAGCAGTTAAGATTCAAGGACAACAGGGCAGAAAGTAAAGGAAGCATACCAGTACATAAATTAATAGTACGCCTTTCAACTAGAATACTGGGCTCAGAGCTCATCTCCCTTGTTGAGAAAAGGATAAAGGGTTCATATAATCAAAATGAAAGACTGAACAATATTCAGACTGCCAAGAAGGTGATTAATATGTAAGAATGGGAATAAAATAATGAATAATCAAAAGAGTAAATTCAATCCATGATCCAATTCCAGTGTAACAGCATAAATAATCAGAAATATATTATTTAACTTACCTCTTGAACTTGACTCATACCCAACAGTACACCAGCCAGGCTAAGAAATTAGTAGTATTTAATACGTCAATAAAAAAAATTTTCCTCTTTTACTCGAGGCAGGAAAATTATTATTCAAACAAAATGTGGAGTGTAACAGTCAAGCTATTACTAGGCAAAGCATTTTATAGTTAGATGCTTTCTTAATCATAATTATGGCCAAGGATTAGATTATAGGATTTAATAACTGTATGAATTCATCATGCTCAAATATGACTAAACTACTGCAGTTAAGACATTCTACTTTATGTATTATAGAAGAAGAAAAAACAATTTACAGGTATACCCCTTCTAATATTTACCAGTCTCTCATATTTTGGGCATAGTCAGAAATAAATACTCAATTTTACTGACCTTATTTTTGTCATTTAAGCAGTCTTCCAAGAATTTTTGTATGCTATCTGCCTTGGGGAATGGTAGAGCACTTTCCATGTCCTCACAGCACACAGGCACTGGTGGTTTGCTAAACCAACATTAAACATGCAGTGGAGAATAACAACAGGTTTATAAACTAAAAGAAGTGTTTTAGGATATAGTCATTGTGATCAAACCAGATATTGCGTCAGTGCAACACCAAGGGGGTACTGAGTAGTTCTGTCAACACTTTGGAGTATGTGAGAGAAACATTTAACTATTTTTTTCGGTTTTGCCGGTATAATCAAAACCCAAGTAGCCATAAAATTCAACTAAACAAAAAAGGAAAGGTAAGGACTTCTTAGCTGTAATTTTTTTTTTTTTTTTTACACATAGGTGTTTTTCTTACACCTAGTACTCCTCCATTAATATTCAACACCTAAAGAAAAATAGTTACCTTCTGCTTACTGACCTCCAATTCTTCTACAGTCTCTAAGGTACTTTAATTCAAAGCTAGTAGTCTCATAGAAACAGACATTAATGAAGTCTGATTTCCAGTGATGTTCTCCTCTGTAGGTATTCTGGTGGCTAGCAGGAGGTTAGATTATTAGCCTCTATTACCCATGAATACTACCACTTCTATTATCACCTGCAGGATTTTTTTTTTGAGACTTTTACTCACGTGTTAAATATTGCTAAAATTAAGCAATAGTTCAGAATGTTCTGGGGTAAAGGGAAACTGCCAGACAACACCCAGAACCTTGTACACCTAGCTTCTTAAAAACGGTAGGAAACTGAGGAAATACTAGTATTGCTTTTTAGCAATCTTTGATCCTATGAAATAACCTTTCAGTTCCTGAACAACTGAGATTTCACTCCCAAGACTGATCCAAAACTTCAAGGCCACACCACATTTTTTAAAAAAGGAACTTCCCACTATTAACTTGTTTTTCATAAACTATCGATCATAAACTAGTAAATCTGTCAATTTAAGGTCCATTAAATAATTTGTCTCTTGAAATAAATACTTCTTATATATCATTGATATACAAAGATATTATTAAAAAGCAACAATAAGTAATATTGTTAGCACGCTTTGCAAGTCAATGAGAAAGGGAAAGCAGTGCACCAATATCCTGACCTTGAAATATCAAACATTCAGCACTAGCAAGAAATCTAATAGTAAATCCTTTCTTTATGTACATGCCACAGCACCATTACTTATAATGTATATACAAAAGCAATTAAATACATGATGCATTTTCACGAACAAATTAGTCCAAAATACATGTTTACTTACAAAGCACCTCGAGCATTTTCCCATGAATATACTGCTCCTAGTATATCTGTAGTAGAAGGACTGCCATCATTTTCCAGAGTATTTGGCAAATCTTCAGTTGACCTCTCTAGACCTCTGTCAGCCTTGAAGGTAAGTAGCTCAAGCTGGTCTTCTAAAAAAAAAAAACAAAACCAAAAAACAAGGACACAATGTGTCCAACCCTCTTCAAGAGCATTATTTCCACATTACTTTTAATTTTATGTAAGACTCAGAGAAAGTTACTACAGATGAATAGCACTGGAAATGTTTTACAGAGAGCATAGCCCGAATACAACTCCTTCGGTTATCTTTGTATGGCTGTATGGTGTGTAAATCATCAGTACCAAACATGATCTGCAAGGTTCTAGCCAGGACAGTATTTAAAGTAGCCAAGCGTTTCCTTTCCTAACTTATGTAAAGGAAGTATCATATGCAGCATTCAAGATTATTTAATGGTTTTAATGCTATATAAAACAGAATTAATGTTAATTCACAATACAATGTTAAATATTACTTATTAATACTGTAAGTTCTTAGGTTTTCTTACTATTTTGCACAAGTTTTTCTAATAGCTGCTTTTACAGACACCTCAGAGAAATCATTCAACATATACATGCAAATCACATATACAATCACATATAGGGCTCACATTTAAAAATAGGTTGAGACAAGCACTCAAAATGACAGATACATTCTCATATAATTTTCTTATACCTAGCCTGTTCACAATTGGTAAAACTGTCTGTGTCAAAAAGACATAACCCTGTATTTAAAGTTCATTCTGCATACACATTAGAAAGGTATTTGCAGACATTTGTATATCCAGCATTTTGTTGCTTTGAATTCACAATATAACGAAGTTAAAATGTTGTTTATATATAACCTCTTGAAAAACGGGAGAGATCAGTATTTATGCTTTGCATAACAAAGAAAAAATATTTTTATTTTTAAATGAATAAACTTAGACAGAAGTGAAGGTAATTAACACTTTGAAATGTTAATCTCTCATATCAAAGCAAATCTCGCTGATACTTCATAATACAAAGATGGTGCTTCACCACAGGACCTCCCTGCTTCTAAAGAGCGATGGCCTGCTGCAAAGAGTAGCTAGGTGAGAGATTCCCAAGGAAAATCTTCACATAAACTGAAGACACTGGATAACCTAAATAGATGGGTTACAAATATCTCCTGATGACTGTGTAAAGTAGAGAAAAAGACTGCACAATAACTGGTATTTTTTATCAATTTGACAGGTTCATTTACACTATGTTTAGGAATCTCTCTCCCCCAAGGTTACACTTCACGGAATTTAATGCTTGAAATTCTATTAAAATATTTATGGAATTACTGTAATTATCTTGCAGTAAGGTACTAAATATGCCACTGTAATAAATACTTTGCTGTAAAAGGAATGCTTAAATATTGATTTATATATGAAAACTTACAAGTATAAAAGCTGTTTAACTTGTGCTTTGAGTCATTTGTCAAAGATGGAAGCGAATACCTCTACTGTACAGTGCAGTCAGACTAACATAGCTAGAGTGCGTTGGTTTATAAAAATGTACGTCTTTACACACATACAGTCAAAATTAAAAACCAAATTATATGAAATATAGTTACCTCTGAATGGCTTTTTAGCCTGTCTCAAAACTGAGTTATCAAATGGGAAGCATGCATCTGGACTATCATAGCTGCAACTTTCTTCTACTTTGTTATCACCTCTCAGATCCAGGCAACCATTTTGTTCAAAAACATGAGAACTGTCTTTATCTTCAGAATATCTTTTTTTCAGGATCTCAAAAGCTTGTGAAGAGGAAGCTTTGCCTTGTCCATTAAAATTTTGACCATCGCTTTCTTTAGCTGAATCAGAAAAAAGGTTGTAACTCTTAAGCCAGACTGGGTAGTCATAATTGGGAATGCTACTTATCCCCGATACACTTAGGTCAGACTTCTGACTGGTAAGCCACCTTGGATAATTCTTAAAAGGAAAAGCGTTAGACTTCTCTTCGAAAGACAAGGATCTTGAACTTTCCTTAGAGGAGACAGAATCATACCTATCGGGTGTATGCACATTGCATTTCTTTTTGCTGAAGTCTTTGTGTGGATTCTGGTGAGCAACAGCTTTCCCATTCTCCTGGAGACTGAAACTGCTTTCAGTATCAAGTAATGAGGTTTGGTAAGGGCAGAAAGATGTTTTAAGAGACTGTCTGTTCCACTCACTACTATGATGCCTTGATTTAAAAGGACTATGCTGGACAAAGGGCAGTGATCCATCTGCTGGAAATCCTAACAGATCATCCGTCGCAAGGCTAATCAAGTCTGGGTCACACTCACTCTGCCTTGTAGAGGGTGAAGCAAGAGAACCCAATCCTACGTGCTGATTAAAACCATCCAATGCTGAAAAACAAAGATATTTTACATGAATTGCTAAACTTCAAGCGTACCAAAAGGATACATTTGGATGATCTAACATGAAGTAATACTTTAAAGCTGAAATATATTCCTTACAGGGGGTACTGAACTACAGTTCTTGCAGAAGTGGTTCTGTTTCAAATCAGAATCTTGATTAAAAAAACCCAAACTTACCAGTCAAAAGTTACCCCTCCTTTCACAATACACAACATGTGCAGCTTTGAGTATTTTCTTTCTTGTTTAAGAGAAAAAAGAAATCAACATTCTACAGTCCTTTTTTAGTTTCACATTCAGAACTGTATATTTTGCAGATATGTCCTTAGTATTTCAGTCCTAACAGCAACATTTCCTCTGTGCAGTAATGTTAGGGATGACTTTCCCCATCTTGAAACTGAGCACATTTACTGGAGAAAAAGATGGCTAGAAGCAATAACTTGCAAGGTAAGTAGCTAGATAATGGGCCTATAGACCCATTTTGTGATTCTACAGAAACTTAATGTGCTGTATAAGATTGGACTTGACAGTTTTCAGGGAATTTCATAGCATTAAGTCCTTTTTTTTTACTGAAACAATGAAGCACTTTGATTCACAAAATTAGGTTTTCCTCAGCTAGTACCTGAGGTTATTTTTTCCTCACTTTCACTGTAGTATCACAGTAAGTGAAATCTGTATATTACAGACTATCGTAACATACAAAACATATATGCAGACGAGCTAATATGTGAACAGAGCTAATGAGACTTCTGCAAAGGACAGCAATGGAGAAATTTCAGAGTAAAATGTGAGGAGATTATATCTTTCATAGAACAGTTTCTCATTTTTAGTGATAATCAGAATGCTTATTTTTGTTTGGGAAATCAGTTCAACATAAGTAGAAAGTAGTTTGTATTAGAAAAATATAAACCAGAAGCTAAACAAAGCTAAAAAACAATGGCCTTAAGAGAATGAGAGGAAAGGTGTGAAGCTGGAGGAAGGTTATAGGCTACAGTGAAGAAAAAAAGCCCTGAATAATACAATATGCTACCATAACTGTCCATGCCAATGCAACCCAGGAAAGCATGCTTTCTCAGGTATGAAGTCTGCCTGGACTTAGGACTTTGTTATTTTAGATGTAATGGACAAAGCATGTGCAACATAAATTAGCTCAAGCAGTTATCTACCCTAGATCTTCTCATGAAAGTTCATATAAACAATTAAGTATTTATTTATTCAAGTTAACTAACAAGAGCCTATTCAAACCAATATACATTACCGAGTTGGGTTAGACTTCAGGCCCAAAAGTACATTACATAAAAAACAACGGATAAGAGGCAAATTTTGTTCTACGCCAAAGCAGTGTTTAAGGGAAGTCCTTCAATTAATTAGATTTTGATGTTACTTACTCTGGAAAGGAAACTGAGATTTTTTTTCAAGACTCAGGTTTAAGCAATGATTTACACTCTCTTTAGTATATACTCACATATAGAAAATACAATTTCTATTCCATACTCTGTAATTTATTATTGCATCTATGAGCGTGGTTGTGAATTCTCACCAATCCACCAAGCATTTACGAAAAAGCATTACAGAGAATGACAAACATTGCTAACCATGATCAAGCATCATTTGCTATACCATAAAGAATTGCAAGCAGTTGTGCAGCCAGTATTCCTTCAACAAAACACACCTGGTGTGAGACAAGGACTTGCAATACCATAGGCAATGAAAACAAAAACAAAAGAAAAGAACAGCAAACACCAAAACTTATTAAACATCTTTGCAGAGACATACCATGTTTTTCTTTGGCATGATGATTTGAAAACTTAACTTTTTTGGGAGTGCTGTGACATATGCAAATTTTTCCAGTGCTTATTTCTGAAGATGTGAGACTTAAATTGAAATCTTCAATATAAGCTTCCAAAGCCTCAGATGCAGAGCTGTAAAGCTTGTCCTTGTAGCAAATCAAACTGTTTGAGTATGGATTATTGCTGTCAATGCTATAGCTTGTTAAAAGAGAAGATACTGCTGAATCAGGAGAGCAGGCACTGCTTTCTTTTATTGAGCTTGTCATGGTTTTTATCCAGGTTTGTTAGAATCTTCACTCATCTTTTTAATCAATCTAAATGGAAGAAAAAACACAAGTGATCAACTGCACTGAAGTGTCTTCTCAAACTGTAATATATCTAGAAATTTTTACTTTTATTCTATAATTCATAGTATTTTCCTAAAACCTGCTATTTAGCTATTCAGCTTGCTGCTTTTCAAATAAGTTTGTCATACATATGTGCCACTCCTAGAAAAGTCAAAGGCAGAAAATAAAAGCTCTGGGAAAAAAGATAATAGCGACACTTTAGTAGTGGGGAAAAAAATACGAGCACCAGAAAATCCAGCTCCTTGCTAGTTCTAGAGGAACCTCAGTGTCTCGCTTTTGCAAGAGGAGAATTTCATGTAGGAATTGCTGACATTTGTCACCAAACATACGATTCAGCATACTTCATACACAGAAGTATCATAATTTTGATTTCAGAACCAGCACAAAATAGTAGCGTTCATGGACCAAACCAGAAGTAGCTTAGTATGAAAAAAATAAACAACTTGATGTAACAAGACTAGGAAGCCATTACCCTTGCAGGTGTTTTTATATAACCAGAATGGGTACACACAGCAAAAGAATTTCGCAAGCCACACGGGAGCACTTAGAATTGCCCTATCTTTGCAATTTAGTCAACTCAATCCAAGCTCCCTTTGTAACCCCACAAACTGTAAATTGAAGAGTTGGAAGTGCAGGCTGGTTCCAAACGCTTTAATGAGGACGATCAACGTCACCGAAAGAAACTTAACAGTTCATTTCATCCCTGTAGGTAAAATATCATTCAGAAAATCTGTTGTGTGAAGGAAACAGGTGCTGTAACAAACAACAGAGATTAATAACTTTGCTATATGCTATATCGCATGCGTACAAGGATCATCATACAGTAGCAGCACAAGGATTTATATACAAAAGGCACAGCGGAGGCCAGCTCTTCCAAGGCCGGAGTGGTTTGCCCTGGAAAGCCGAGGAGCCGGCTAGGCACCGGCCGGAGGGCAGCGCGACCGGCACGGAGACCTCCTGGAGGCCCACCCTCACACACCACAGAGGCAGGGCGGACCCGGCCGTGGCGGGCACCCCCAGCCCCTTCTCCCTCACAGGACGCAGTCAGCGTGAGAAAAAGAAGCGCCCAAAGCAGCACACCCATACGGGTGCGACACCCTAGCTCCTTCCTACCCGAGCACCCCAACCCACAACAGGCGCTCCTCTGGGGTTTGCCGCGCAGCGAATTTGAAGGGACCGCACCCCTTTGTAAAATGGCGGCGCGCAGGCGCAGTGGTGGCCGCGCAGCC